GATTTTAATAATTATTTTTTTCATTAGAAAGCTACATTATCACGGAGTAACATAGGCTATATTAAGTACTCGATTACTATAGACATCTATAGAAATTCTTACTAAAACCAACGGAAGGCGTAAAAAAATTAGCCGTAAAATGTCTTTTTTCGCATACGCTGCGAAAAGTATTAATGATAGGACAAAAAAATGTTCGACAATATTATAGAATATATCAATATCTACAAAAAAAAATCGCGAGAGCATATGTCTTGTATGTATTGTAGTTACGTCGCTAAAACTACTTTTTACATTTAACAAATTAATAGAAATGGTGTTAAAAATCAGACCGTGTTATCTATACCGTTTATACATTTTTATCCAAATAAACAATTTAATATTCTATAGACTGTCTCAATACCTAGTGGTTCCTTTTTTAATTATCGAAATCGGACATGCCATTTAAAAGATATCATGAAATTAAAATTAAAATACATGCCGGCGGCGGCCGCCACGCCGCGCACTAATTCGACGATAGAGACAGTGGGCTCCTTACGCAGTGGGCGCGAACGATATTGAATATTTCGATATTTTTTTGGACATTTTTATGCTTCACTTAAAAAGTTCTTTTCAAAGCTACTTAGTTTAGTATTAGGAATCACACTTTGCATAATATTTGTCAAAGTTCTTTTCAGAACTATCGCTTTGAACTTGAATATTTTATTTTGAATTATTATTAGTTTATTATTTATTTCTCTGATTTAAAATAAATATGCTTCATAGTAATATGCCTAGAAGAAAAAGGTCGCAGCTATCTAAGAATAGTTTCCAAGCGAGATTAGCAAAAGTTTGTCGTATTGTAGAGTCTTCTTCCTAAAATGATCGTCTGGAAAGTATAAGTGTACGCGACCCAATCGCTAGCCAGAGAATCTATCGTCGAATGTTCAGGTTCGTCTTGCAGAACAAAATGCAAGATCGTCTCAGCGACTTGAAGGAAATAGAGCTAGGAATGCGCGAATGCATGCACGGGACAACACTGAACGCTCGCAGTGGCTCCTGAACCAGTGAGATAGACAACGGTCGTTAACAGCTAGGACGCGCAATACATTTTTTTTTCTAATTTAGTGATTCAAGGTCGTTTTAATAAGCATGCTTATAATTTAAATATTAGTACTTATTTATGTCTACTCGTGCGAAGCCGGGACAGGGCCGCTAGTTGATAAATATTTTTGTGTTGTTTAGAACATTTATCGGGGAAAGCTATAAACATTGCCTTGTGACTAATAGGAGCGAAGAAAGAGCAGAAAATATAAAAAAAACAGGGAAAATTATTTATCATTGTGAGTTTCCGTTGCGCACGCTGCGAACGCGGTTCGAGATATCAAGAAAAAATGTGTAATTCATTTTTGAAAAAGCAAGGATTGGCGGCGAGTTTTTTGCCAGTTCTTCTCGCTCCATTTTTTCCTTGAGTTGAGAACTGGTAGTGAATGTAAATTTAGAGTTTTAATTGGTACGATCTTTATAAGTTTACCTAGTTGAATAAATGATTTTTGATTTTGACGTTTGGCGTTTGACGTTTGTCTTTTTTACTTTTTCCCATATAAATAATTTCTATAAAAAAAGTGTAGACTGTACCTGTCCGTTGCTATAGCAACGAGATGGAGAATTGATGCAGAGCTGCAAAGTACATCGCTGGAAGTCCACATATCACATAGCTCAGGTCCCAATATCCAACCTTGACTGACCTGGAAGAAGGAAAGCTCGTAAATGTCAAAGATTCTTAGATTATTTATGTTACAAAAAATTACGGTTTAAAACGCGAAATATATTACTTAAACTAATTTGAAATAAATAACAACTTCCAAAGAACAGATGGCGCTAGTGTAGCAGTTTTATTTTGATATTAGAGACACCATCCATCTTTAGTCTACCCGTGACCATGACGGCATAGCATCCGAAACATCGATCCGTAGTTACAATCTATACTAATATATAAAGCTGAACAGTTTGTTTGTTTGAACGCACTAATCTCAGGAACTACGAGTTCGAATTAAAAATTATTTTTATGGTGGTTAGAGCATTTATCGAAGAAGGTTATAGGTTATAAAACATCGCGCTGTGATGAAAAGAAGCGAAGACACAGCGGGGAATGTGAACAAACGGAGGATTTTTTTCTTTTCTGTGTGTTTCAAATGCGTAAGATGCGAAAACGGTTCGAGACACCCAAAAAATATATAGGAAAGAATGATTCCTCTTTAAATGATCTAAAAAAATGTCCTCCACACTGTATGTCTATCTTTTAAGATTAATTCGCGAGAACGACGGCGACCGATGTCGTGGGACACTTTAAATTTATAACGATAAAGGATTAAATTTATAAACCTATAGGTTTATAAAGAACTAAGAATAAACCAAAATAACTATTCGACGCGGACAAAGTCGCTGACGCAGTTAGCTTTCAAATTAGTTTGGTTACGTTATTACGTTTCAAGTCCGACGCTTATCTTATGAAAAATAATTTAATAAATAATTATTAAATTTCTCGTTTAAAACCGTTGAAATGTTTAGTTTAACATGTATTTGTGTGAACACGTTCTATGCTTGAGTTGAGGAGTTTGAGGATTTTTATGATACTATCGGTTAATCATGCATATGCTATACCTCGTAGACAGCCCCCAGCGGCATGACGAGGCATGCCACCATGAGGTCGGCTACCGCCAGCGATGCCACCAGGTAGTTGGCGACATTCTGAAGGTTTCTCTCAATTATTATTGCAGCTATTACGAAGACGTTTCCTGCGGACAAAGGATGAGTAATTAAAAAAATATACCACTTAAAACACTTTAACGGTTTAAAACGCGATATATATAAAACTTATTTACACGTTATTTTAACCACGGCCTGATTTTCGCATGCTTTATGCAACACGAGGAGACTAAAGATGGAGAGTGTCTCTAATGTCAAAGTAAAAACTGATACGCTAGCGCCATCTGTTACGTCATAGGTATTTCTAAATAAATGTATGTAATATATTTCTCGTTTAAAAGACAGTATTTAATTATACCGCTTCTGAATTAAACATTCTATGTACAATTAATTTTAAATACGGCCCCGCTAGGGCTACAAAGCATCCGAAATGTCGGGCCACGTTTCAAATGAATTACGCGTTTTAAACCGATACAATTGTTTTATTTAAATGTGTACTACTCGCGTTAACTACAGACAATATCGTTTCGGTTGTCTCGCTATATCGATGGTAGCAATGTATGGCTAACAGTCAACGGGCAGTGGCTTCGATTCCCTACATGTTTCTAGGATCGATTTATAATTTCTCCCAAACATGATGGAATGTGGAAAAACTGGGTATTTAAAAGCTGCTAGGAATATCAACATTCCATTGGGAATCACGAACCACAGATGAAATGACGCAAAGTTTTTGTGTCTGTGGATGTTCGAATATCCAACCCCAAAATAGGTCGACCGCGCATCTGGTTTAGATCTTATATGCCTTAAAAATCGAAAATAAATTGAAAAATTTTCGGCCTCGGGGGGGGCTTAAGAAGGCTTCCCCACCTTCCCTGCCTGTTTTTTTCCCCACAACTCCCCCCCTCCCCCCCCCTTCTCTATATTTTTTTTTTTTTTTTTTTTAAACAACAAAAGGGGGAGGGCCACCCCCGGGGCCGGGGCGGGGGGGGGCCACTTCCCCCCCGATTTTACAATTTTTTTTTTTTTTTTTTTTTTTTTTTTTTTTTTATTTTTTTTATTATTAATAATTATAAAAAATTTTTATTTTTTTTTATTTTTTTTGCCTTTTTGTGCGGGCCCCCCCCGGGCCCCCCCCCCGGGGGGGGTTTTTCGGGTTCCTTTGTCGGCTGGCTCGATATCTCACGCTGGTACCACCCGACCCACGCACCCTGCTGTGCGTATGTACTGAGCCAGTTACCCCCTCTCACTGACGTATATCGTTGAGAGAAACAAGACGTATATCGTTATTAGAAACACTTGGACGTATTTCGTTAGAGGGTCTCTTCAAATAAAATCCCTTTTTCTTCTTATTATTCTTCCAAAGTGCTTCTTCCTTATTGCTCGATGTGACATGTTTTGCTTCGGGACCTTTGCGAGCTAAAGTAGCGCGAACTATACCGCGACGAGATGTCCGCGAAGCGTGTGCGATTTCGTGTTATTTTCCGCCAATTTTTACTATCGCGAAGCACTTTGGAAGCTTATATTTATTTATCCATTTATGCGATTTTTACAATTTTTACATGGAATTAAACCTTACAAAATTCTCTATTTGACTATATAAAATACATTTCAATAGTTTTAATCTCCAATGAGATATTCAAGTTTCTAACAAAAAGTTCGACAATTTTCGATTTGCTATTTCGTTAACTTTAACATCTATAAACTTCAAACTTTTATAAAACGATTCGTTTTATCAATATTAAGCTATTATAACAGTTAAAATAATGATTATATGACATACAAACAAGAAATATCAAGAAATAACTTTGTCATATAAACTTACACTAAAGACGCAATTTTACACATTAAGCTTAATTATTTTAGGACATATCAATATACTATAACAAAATCTATCCTAAAACACTCATTTTGACATACATAATATTTACAATTTACGATTAGAAATAATTAAATTAATTACAAAACACGTAAATACCCTGTGCGAGTGGGATTTTTATTTTTGTGTGCAAAAAAGACAAAAAAAATTTTTTTTGGGGAAGGGGTGGGTTTTTGGGGGGGCAAGAGTTCATTTTTTTGGGGGCCCCCCGGGGGGGTTTTTCCCTTTTCCCCCTTTAACAAATTTTTTTTTTTAACCCTTTTTTTTTTTTGGGGGGGGGGCCCCCCCCCCCCGTTTTTTCCCCCCCCCCCCTCCCCCCCCCCCCCCCCCCCCCCCCCCCCCCCCCCCCCCCCCCCCCCCCGGTTTTTTTTTTTCCTCCTTTTTACAACGACCTGCTCGAAGGACCAAAAAACACTTCGCAAAATGGCCGCGAAAGCCTTACACAATTCCGATATCTTTTCAAAACAGAACTGTATTGTGGAAATCTTTTCCATTAGATTTAGCAACATCCCATACGAACACAGTTTCATTTTGTATAGCATACACGAAGTCCACTCGATAGCGCCTTCTCAAATGACTGTAAGGCTGCGTTCACAATCACTACGCAGTATAAAACAAAGTCACTTTTTTCTGTCCCTATGTGCGCTTGAATCTTTAAAACTACGCAACGAAT